ATCATGTTTTATAAGCTGATAATAATATATGGATCTTTAAAGTGAGCTGTATCTGAAAAATATATGTGGTGGAAGAATAGTCTAAAACTGAAAGTATTAATACGTTAAAGTTGTACATAAGTACAGTAATGTAGTACATAGTCACTTTTCACCATTGCTAATTATTTTATAAAAAATAGTTATTAAAATAATATGAAGTGAACTATTTTGTACTTCTCTATTCCATATCCTCAGTTCACAATACATCTAAGGTATCCATCACTACCTCTCTCAAAAAATATTTAATTTCTCATTTTTATTAACACATATTTTTGACTAGTTTATAGTTAAATAGTAAATATTTCATGGATTAGGGCCTGTAAAGTCTACTTATTGTTTGTAACCATTTGTCAAAGCCAAGCCATGAAGCATGATTCCCAAGAAGATTTAAATAATCTTTAAAAAAAAATCTGATTAGTGTATTTCCCACCACCTGCTTTTATTGTGCAATGCTTTGCCTGGTGGTTCCACCGGTATGAACCTGATTGTAATGTGGCAAAATGTTAAGGAGACGGACGTGGGCGGGTCACAAGGTGCTGTTAGAGTAAACTAGATTAATATTGTCTAATTGTTAAACAACTGTCTTTTTTCCCCAGATTATGATTATTCATGGTGTTTTGGGCTCAGTCATTGTGACTTTTATGTCAGGGTGAGATTTAGGAGGTTATGTGTGCTGCAAATAATGTTAATTCACTGATGTAACTCATTCTGATATTAAGCTCATTATATAATGAGTTCATGTATTACTTCAGACTGTTGCCCTTTGCCTTGTGCACACGAAGCTAATCCCCTATGGCCTAAATCTTTGTTTTTATAAGGACTCAACTCCCCTCATGAGTTTGTGATAATGTTGCAGACTGTGGACCAAAGTACACGTGCATTTCTGATTTTTAGTCATCAGCAGAGAGGGACCTATTGGAGAATCGCAGCTCATCAATTTTGTTAATGATCACCCGCTCCCTTTACATGAGGACAGTGGAACGTGAGCTCTCTCAGTAAGTGGAGCTGTGGTCTGACAGTGAGGGTGTAGCTGAAGACACAGATTTGATTGTTGTCTGCCTTCAGAGGACCTTACTGAAGGGCAGTCATGCGCCTGATAGGGTCCGCTGTGCTTTTCTCTGTCCTGCTACAGGCTATGGTAAGAACAAAAGTCAGATTAGGACTGAATGGTGCAGTCCTGGAACTTCCTTTTGGACAATGTCAGATTTTGTTGAACTGAGTTGATCATAGGTAAAAGGAAATTGGATGTGTTTTTTTTATCTATTATTTTGATTTATTTAATATACTTATTTGTTTATAGATATTTTTTAAAGGTTTGCACACAGTATAGATTGCGGGATATCAGTGCTGTATGTGCTGGTTATGTAATATTTATTAAGCAGGATAAAGTGGATTTTGAAAGTGAAGTTTTCATCTCTCTTTCTTCCTACAGTCTGCTCCGACAGAGGACTGGCAGAGGGCCACGTCTATTTATAACTTCTCAGCGACAGATATTGATGGCAATGTGGTTTCCCTAGAAAAATACAGGTAAATCTATCTGTGTCAAATACTCTCCCTGAATTTGCAGCAGCGTCCCACTACTACTGTACCATCGCTATGTATGTCTCTCTTATGTGTCTGTCTCTGTATATTTAGGGGGAATGTTGTCATCATCACAAACGTTGCCTCTAAATGAGGTAAAACCCCAGTGAACTACTCTCAGCTTACGCAGATGCACGCCAAGTATGCTGAGAGAGGTTTACGTGTCCTTGCCTTCCCTTCTAACCAGTTTGGGAACCAGGTATGAAAATGCATGAGTGTTTTTATTAAAGCACCAAGTTAGAACAGGCCCAAGACTGTGATTTGTGATCATTAAGAATGTGAAACAACAAGGTCAGATTACAAAATGTTCCAGATGAACAACCGATATTTAACCATGATGTTTGTGCAGTTTATCCAAGGGAAAGTAACATATCACAGTAAATTAAGCCATATTTTAAATTATTAGAATTGGTTTAGTAATTTTTTCTTATTTTTAACCAGCTTGCAGCTTGAATAATGCTGAACACTGATATTATTGCTCTCAACTTGTTTTACTTTGAAGGAGCCCGGCAATGAAACTCAGATCAAGCAGTTTGCCAACTCCTACAATGCTCAGTTTGACTTGTTCAGTAAGATTGAAGTGAACGGGGCCAACGCTCACCCCTTGTGGAAGTGGCTGAAAGATCAGCCTAACGGGAGAGGCTTCATGGGGAAGTAAGTGGTAAACAAATGAATGGCTGAACTCTGGACTAATGCAGAGGCTAAGTTAAAATGACATAATACTTCATCACAAACTAGTAAATATGTTTTTCTATTGAATTAAAGCCATCAATTATTGATCATCATAGTGTTGACTCAGTGATTATTTGCTAACATATAATTTGTTTTCGTTCCTGCAGCAGCATCAAGTGGAATTTCACCAAGGTAAATATTTTTTTATCAGTTATTTATAATATATTTATCACTAGAGTTGATAGAGCTGACCTCAGCTCTTCATCTGTTCCTGTGTTGTTGTGCAGCAGTGTGAGCAGGTGCCTTCTCTCTATTGTGTGTTTACTGTAGAGAGTACAGTATATCCATACCATATTTGAGGGTTTAAAATAAATATTGTAAGAAGTTAATGCTTTTTAAAAAGTATGTATATTTAAGTTTCCCTTTTCCTTCTTTCTGTCTAGTTTTTGATCAACAGAGAGGGTCAGGTGGTGAAGAGATATGGACCCCTGGATGATCCAAGTGTACGTACAAACATCTTACTTTGCACAGATACTGTAGAGCATATATCTGGACTGTAGTACACGTTGTACTGGCCGGATGTAACATTGTTTACAGGTGAAAATCCTACTGTTATGCTGTGAATATGAGTGATTTAAAGTATATAAGAATAAATTAGTTGAATAAACAAAAGAGAAAGAGAGTACATTCTTTTGGATTTAACATGGAAATGACCTTGTATATATAAGCACAGTACAACATGTATATGTTACTATCAGCTGTAAGTGCACATACTGTGTGTGTATTTTTATGTCAACTTCTGCTCTTGCTTTCTTCCCAGGTGGTGGAGAAGGATCTTCCTCGTTACCTGTAACAGTAACCTGCAACGCCAAATGGGTGATTGATGCCTCACAAACCGATACTCCGTCCATTTTGCCCTTTGATCTCCTGTCTCTGCCTCTCCAAGCACCAGTGGATATAGTTTGGGTCCACCCCAGATTAGTGATGGTCTGTTCATAAACCCGCATGACGGACAGAGCAGACCTGATGAAAGTGGCGTGCAAACCTCCTGGGCGCTCCAAGCTTACATTCATTTGGTTCTCTGGAGAGAAGGAGAAAAAGATCCTTAAATGCATCATTAACTCTGTCAGTATATTAATGTGTGGCAGTGTTTTCATAATAAAATGCACTAACATTTTGTTCTAATGATACTTTTGTCCATGATGTTCATTGTCTTTCACTTCATTTTATATTATATTTCTGTTGCTTGTGGAATAGATGTTGATGTTTTCTTCTGAACTATTGATGTGCGCAAAGATCTTTCTTTTGTATAATGGAAATGGTCAAATGTGACAGAAAATCAATTTTTGCAATACTGAAAAATGCAATTGTGTGTGTGTGCGTGTGTGTGAAATTGTCAGAAAACCGTTCATGAGTGAGCACTAGTACTTAAATGAAAGTGGAGGATTGGTCCCCCCCGGGTAGAGAAATGTACAGTGTCACAGAGACTTATTGTTTGGACATTAGATTCATAGTACAGCAACTGAATACTTACATGACGGTATATTTTTCTTTTTTATGAGTAGCAGAAAGCAAACGAGAACCCGAATATCATTATTCAACCCTGAATTGTAAAATGACAATTAAATTGGAAGTAACTATTACACACATATACTTTTCTAAATTCCAACACAATAGCAATGATTGTAGAAACACAGATTAACCACTTAGACTATCCCATAAAATATATAATCATACAGTACATAAGAATATCACAAAACATTGATTTTGGACGTAGCCCTGATCAGTGGTTCAGAAACCGACAGTGAGACACAAGATTTATCTCAGGGGTTACCAAACAATTTAAAGGATAGGAAATATATATTTATAATATTCTCTTCAGGATTTAAGAATAATTCAAATTAAACAATGTGAGAAGGGAAAAAACGCTTCTTGCACACATGGACAACATTGTATTAAGGGATCACAGTATGGAAAGAGGAACTGGTAAAAAAAGAGTGCCTTAAGGTCTCGTTATAGTGGTGTTTTCTGCTCATTGTATACAATAACATTTGAGGGTTTAGTGGAACTTAAGTTTTATGCATATTAATGTTGTTAATGTGGTAGTATGATGACTCCTAATTAGTTTGGGGTGATATGAGCAAACAAACCAATAAAGATAACTGCTATTAACATTTAAAGATAAAGGAAAACGCCTCTTGTTTTGGAGCCAAAAACTTTATTGATTTAGTCAAGGCTATGTATCTAATATTAGTTTGATATTCATGCATAGGTCAAAATGTCAGATTATGTTGTGTTTATTATGACTTAATTAGTTATTCATCTTTCTGGCTGGCTGCTTTTAAGTATATATATATTTTTTTTAATGTTTATATGTTGACTCACCAGACGGATTAAGAGCTTGAGTAAATGTACTACAACCACTCAGACTCCCAGCAGTTCAAGCTGACCTCTACGTGTGATTCAGAGCATCCAGGAGGACGCACTGAGCTCCAGGCTGCAGTTCCCGCGACCTCCTGCAGAGGGAGCCACAGTGTCCGGCACAAAACCAGGCAGCGAGCAGCACGGCAGCAGCAGCAGCAGCAGCAAGTGCGGTGCAGTCGACCTGAGAGGAGAGGACTGCGTGCCGCCGCCGTCGTGAGGAAAACACCGCACAGATGAAGGGACCGTCGCGAATAACTAACACACATTTCTCCGTTTGATTATTGTCACATATCAAACAACACCGTCCTCCTTCCTCCCTGCCACCGGGATCGAGCCGTCGCTGCGGGTCTTTCAGTCGGTGGGCTTGCCTTGTTTTTTCCTCCGGGAGGCTGAATGGAAGCAGCAGCCGAGGGAGCGGTCGGGCTGTCGGAGGCCAGGGACGGGAGCCCGCTATCCGTTGCCGCAGCATCCGATGATGGAGACACGGTCGTTGGAGTTAGCTACGGGATGGACGCCGCCGACATGGGTACTTTTATCCCCTTTTAAAATAAAACACACCCGTCTTTTTAATGCTCATTTCACTACCCTGACACCCGTTTCCATCTGATGCTACTGCTGTGACCAGAAAGTCCCGACTCATCTTTGCTAGCAAGGAACTGGTAAGCTAGGCTAGGAGCTAACTTAGCTGGACTGGATGAGGGAAGCAGGTAAAGTTAGGTACTAACGTTATATACAGTATGTGTGTTACTGGGTAATGTTTATAGCGCATTCATGTAGCTACAGTCGTGACTAGTCAGCAGCCAACCCGTGGCCAGGCAGTGAATAGACGTCTGACAGGACAATGTGATATGACATGTGTATGATATTTAGAGCTGGAAATATTCCTAATGACTTGGCTGTGCATAAAGAAAGAGCCAGGGGTCTATATAGGACCTTTTCTCTTGGCTTCCTCTGTTGCCTCTTCCAGCTTTAGGGCTTTAGGCAGCTAGAGTTATCACCACCTGTCACCCACAGGCTGTAGAAAAACATGAATATACCATTAGGAAGAAACCATTAAAGCCCCAGTTTGGGTTCACTGTTTGTTACCATCTTGGCATTTACTGGAGCCAGATAATCCACATTTCTGCAAGGAGGAGGGCTGATGTGATTACCATTTTAATATATATATATAATATATATATTTTAAGAGTGTTTCTTTTTGTTTGACACAGATGAGACACAGATTAGAAATAGACATTTGAGATGTCCTATAGGAAAAGCACAGGTGTTACTAATAATATTAAGATGGCTCTGTTCTGTTCAAGTGTCTCAGTAAAACCCATGACTGTGTGACAGAGGCAGCATGTCTAATACCAGCACGGTGAAACTGAGACAGCTACATGAATTTCATTTTATTATGTGTGCTTCTCCTTTTCTTGTGTCATGGCAAAATGTCTCCGGTGAGAAAAGGCCTATTCGTGGTTGAGGCCGTGATGTATTATGAAAACCAATTGTTAGATCTTCAGTGATGTAAATTGACCAAGAAGATGTTTTTTATCATATAAATCAGTATTGCGTATGTATCAGCCAATAAGTAATGAGAAATTGCAATATAGAAAAGCCTGTACTTGTGTTATCTTGGCTGTTTGTTTGAATTACCAATTTAAGGATCAAATATCCGCATTAGAGACAATTGCAGAGTTTTCGCAGTCAGTTCGTTGAGTTTTCTCAGTTCAGCAAAGCAATGAAAGTTGACAAATTCACAAATGAGTTACTGCTTACTAAAGCAGTAACTCATTTGTGAATTTGTCGCACCATTTTCAGGTTTTGTGCATTTAGTGTATACGTGTTATAACTGTTAGCTGCTTTGTCACTGCTGTGTTGTGGCTGTGTGTATCAGTGATGGGAGATGAGGGAGGTAAGTACCCTTCTAATAGCTGTTGCTTAAAGGTCCAGTGTGTAACATCAAGGAGGATCGGTGGGCAGAAATGGATGGTTTCATTAGTGTATAAACAGCTGAATAAAGGAATTGTTGTGTTTTCGTTACCTTAAAATTAGACGTTTTAATCTACAGACAATCTCTTGCCTTCCATGGAGTCCGCCATGTTGAACTGTTTCTGCAGTAGCTCAGAACGGATGTTTAAGTCCTTGAGCTGCAAGGTAATGGAAAAGGGTATTCTTTAATGGTCCAGTGTGTAACATTTAGGAGAATCTATTGGCAGAAATTTTATATGATATTCATATGTATGTTTTTATTAGTGTATAATCACCTGAGAATAAGAATATCGTCATATTTTCATCACCTTAAAATGACCACCATAGTTTCTCCTACACACTTCACAGCCTGTTCTCATTCCCAGGTTGTCAAATACAGACGCGAGCTGTGTTCAGTTAGTTGCAATCTGCAACTTCACTGCTAGATGCCACTAAATCTGGCGCACTGTTCCTTTAAGTTGTGTTCAGTTGTGTAATCATATAAAAACCTCCGAAGCCAGATTAGTTTATTACATGTAGTTACTGAGCTACTTCAGTGTCATCAAGAGTGATAATTCTCAAACTGAGATAATCGGTTCTTAGTTTGAAAATCAACCTGAATTTGGTTTTGCATGCACTTAAAACAAATGTTATATTTGAAATATCCAAGTGATGACTTTAAAGAATACTAAAGGTTGTGTATGTCTGTAAATACACGTTTGAGTGCCAGTAGCTAAATGTTGGGCTCTTGAGTCCACCAGCAGCAGTCAGTCATGCTGGATTCACTGGTCATGCTTTACTGTACATCACAGTCTGGGGATTTTCATTGTCCCTGGTGTGGAAAGTGCTGACTTTGACAAGAGTTGTACCTCCACACAGAACAGGATCACAAATCAAATGGGCTGTCTGATGGTGAGGGCTACTCGTCGAGCGTGGCTTTATCAGAGGATGAAAATGGACTTGGGGTGCCTTTGGCTGCAGATGCTCTTTCTAGCAAGCTTGCTGGCGCGTGTCTCGTGTACGCTTGTTATTTCACAACTGTTTACCTGCCCAGTCAGTGCACCTTCACATGCAATAGAAAATGCAGGAGAGAGAGAGAGAGAGAGAGAGAGAAAGAAAGAGAGTGAGCTTGGATGTGCAAATGAACTGCATGAAACAGATGTATTATTGAGCATGCTTCTGCCCTGCCAAATGTATTCAGGTTGACGGTAACAGACAGTTGTCAATGATTTATCTAAAAGCAACAGAGGACAATCGTATGACGTGATTGTTAGTGATTACACTGGATAGGGTCGAGGGCAAAAAGACACTGCGGACTGCTTAAGATTAACCTTGTTACCCCATTTAACCTCAGCTTTATTCATCTCTGATTCGGCTAATGCTTTAGGTTGAGTTGGTTTTAAATATTACTGAGGCAAGGCATATATACATTATGCCCATCAACCACGTGGCACTGCCCTGATGTGCTTTTAGGGAAGCATTTTATGAGTGTTTAAGAAGTCCCATTAAAGGAAAAAGCCAGTCTAGTCGATACCTTGCAACAATTCGCCCAGTGAAACAAGCAAGCTGCTTCCAGAGCTACTCGCCATTACACTAGTGATATACTCTGTAGATAATCACACATTTTCTGTTACAAACTATTCTATACAGCCGTTTGATACGCACACTAATCTATTATTCCATTATTTCCAGTATTCCTGCGCTGTAACAGAGTAAATAAACAGGCTACTACTGTAACGTCTGTGTGATTTCACTCATTAATGTTTATTTTTTCTTAAATAAATGTCTGACCAAAGCAGCCAAGGTTGTCTCTGAAACATGTAAGAGCTTAAATATGAGTTATTAAATATGAATTATAAATAAGAATTATTACATGATGCATGCAGTTTAAAATGTAACCTGGGTGTGTTGCAGGCTAATGGAGGAGTAGCTCCCTAAACGGTGTTCTTTTTATCACAGTTACAATCATGAGAGGAGGTTGAGGGAATAGAGGTTATCAAATTCTTAAGGCAGACCTACAGCATATTGTCATAATGTTAATCCATATCAGCAACAATGAATGAATACGTCCGCTCCAAGCTAATGATATTATCAGACATCACACTGCTCTATCATGTTTATATCACTGTTTACATTAATTAGCCATACAAGTGTGCTATATCAGGACATTTCTATCTGAACATGCCCCACTACTTGACACAGTTAAGATGAAACAACATTTAATTGGTCTATCTTATTATTTGTATTGCTAATATACTGTAGTTGTGTGTGTCTCCTCTTCCAATGCAAAGCTTTTGGAGGTTAAGCTAGTTTCTCTGGTAAGCCCTGCAGCAGGGAGGGGTAGGTGTGGATCACACTGTGACTCTCAGACAACATCTGTCAGTGACGGGTCTTAAAGGGATAGTCCATAAGGCTGAAATGTGTTAAACACAGGGATTTTGTTTATTTCTGTGGTCGTGTAATAACAATGCGGCATTGGCACTGGTCAGTAGGAATGAATAGAAATGTCAGCTGAAAAGGTGTTTGCTTGGTTCTCATTGGCCTGTGGAGATGGTGGACGTTCAAGTAACACGTCAAAGTGAGAACGTGGTTAACGTCAGATCATGCGTATTTGTAATTGTAGGCTGCGCCGTTCGGCTCAGCTGCTCTGAATGTGTGAAAACAACATTGTGTGGGTTTCACAGCTGGCTGTTAAATAGCTGTCTGAGCATTTAGTCCCATTCAAAGCTCCTCATCTTAAGGCAGTTGTAATTTGTCCCTATAGTCTCCTGTCAGCACGACAGCATTGATCTCACTTATCTCCTCTCCTCACTCGCACTCAACTCTTCCTCTCACCTTCAACCTTGGCTGTAGCCTCCTCTCCTGTCCTCCTGTCCTCGCTCCAGAGTGAGCTACAACCCATCTACCTCCTCCTCTCTGAGTGATTCCCTTGCCTCAGCCACTTATTTGTCACCATCCATCAGTCCTCCCCCCTCTGTGTTTTTCTCTGTTCTCCGCTTTAGGCAAGGCCTGTCAGAACTGCTGACGGAAGCACAAAGGGTGGTTGCCTTCTGTGGAATTTATCATCTATTTGCTTCCTCCTCATTCATTCTGCAAGGTCTCCCTCTCTCCCTCTCTCTCTTTCTCCCTCTGTGTCCGTCCGTGCCAGTATCACTTTGTACGCCGGTGGCCAGCTCACAGGGCTTGTATAGGATTTTTTGACCCTCTGCCAGGTTATTTAATGTCATGTTATTTCACGTAAATGATGACGCAGTTCAGTTACGTCTTTCGTGCTGCTGAATTTTCTCTGCAAGTGGGGGATGTGTGCCACAGTAGCTATTTTAAACAGATACCACAGCGAGGCAGGAGTGTTGTGTTTGATGCTGTCTGTCCTTGTGCTTGGCCAGGGTTTTTTATTCTCTGAGTGATAGCTGCTGGGAAGATGTGTTAGGGATCAGGAAATGGAGACCTAAACAAGGCTCTATTTTGTTCTGCTGTGGTGACTTTGCAGCTGTAAAAGACCATGTGTGCCATTGGATGAGGCTCTGGCTCAGTTTTACATTGACATGACTGCAGTGTCATACTGCCCTGGCT